CATTTTGACTTTTGAGAAAAGCATCAGCCCAACTTCTCTGTTGATAATGAATGGATCTCTTTGGAATTAAAAATACTGTCATGGAGGTCTTTCTGTATTTCATAGGACACCCTGATTCGATAGTGATTAAACTAAGCAGGCAGGAATTTTTTTTGTTTTGTTTTGTTTTGTTTTTTGTTTTTTGGTTTTTTTTTTTTTTTTTTTTTTTTTTTTTTTTTTTTTTTTTTTTTTTTGGCCTTTAGGGCATTTACCAAAATTCCTCCAATTTCAGAACCTTATAATTGCTATCATCCCCATATCTTTTATGTGCCAGTCCTCATCCTTCATTGGTTAAGGTTTACCACTGGATGCATTATTGTCCTGACATTTCCAAGATGTCCTGGCTGCAGGCTGAGAAAACTCCTGTGGCTCTGTATAAAGGCAGTTGGGAAACCAGAGGGATGCAGCATTTGAGTGAGGAAACAGCATCCTAAAAATTGTCCACCTCAATTGAAGATGAATTTAGTTGAGACAAAGAAAACGACATGGCATGGGTGCATCAACAACTATGTGCAATAAGGATTTAATGGATAAACTATGTTAAATCTTGGAGGAATGTCTAGCACCTAATAAATACTTATCACCATCATCAACCTCATCCACATGATTTTTTACTGTTACCTGTGCTTTCACACTTTTACTCCTTTATTTTGACACAGACTCTAGAGTAAAATTTATTTTGTCTTCATCTATGTGTCTGTGAAAATACTTAGCCCAATTTTGGTTTAATGCTCAGTAATCATCATTTGCAAAAGTGAGTGTGTTGAAGGGAGCGGAATGAGGCAAAGACAACCAGTTTCTAGGACAGTTGTAAGTTACAATAGTAACTTTGAGATTCTTAATAGTTTTCAGGAAATAAAGACTGAGAAGTTAAGAAAAAAGGGAGACAAAACTATTAAGCATACATAAATGGAGGAAAATAAGGAAAGTTTGTATATGAAAAAGTTAAGTGATACAATTTATTTTTGAGTTATTTATTATCTGTGTCTCAGACGACATCTAGTAAGGATTTAATAATGTTGCTTATAATCAAAATCTCATGTGAAATAAAATTGTTACATTTATTATAGAAAACATTTATTATAGGAAAAATGTATTGTAGAAAATAATGCATCCAAAAGGAAGAGAATATGAATATGTGAGAAATGTTAGGTTAACATAATTACTATTGTACAGTTTTGGCACTGGTTATCCAGTGACGTGGTCTGGCTCTGTGTCCCCACCCAAATCTCATCTTCAATTGTAATCCAAATGGTAAGTGAAATTGTAATCCCCACATGCTGGGGGAGAATACTTATGAAAAGTGATTAGATCATGGGGGCAGTTCTCCCATGCTGTTCTGATGGTGAATTCTTGTGAACCATGAGATCGGGTGGTTTTATAAGGGGCCTTTCCCCACTTCCCTCAGCACTTCTTTCTCCTGCTGTCATGTGAAGAAGCACGTGTTTGATTCCCATTCTGCCATGATTGTAAGTTTCCTGAGGCCTCCCCAGCCATGTGGAATTGTGAGTCAATTAAGCCTATTTCCTTTATAAATTACCCAGTCTTGGGGTATTTCTTCATAGAAAACAAATTAATATAGTAAGTTGGTATCAAGTAGTGGGGCACTGCTATAAAGATATCCGACAATGTGGCAGCGACTTTGGAACTGAGTAATAGGCAGAGGTTGTAACATTTTGGCAGGCTCAGTTGAAGACAGGAAAATGTGGGAAAGTTTGGAACCTCCTAGAGACTTGTTGAATGGTTTTGACAAAAATGGTGATAGTGATATGGACAATGAAGTCTATGCTGAGGTGGTCTCACATGAACATGAAGAACTTTTAGGGAACTGGAGTAAAGGTCACTCTTGCTATGTTTTAGTGAAGAGACTGGTGGCATTTTCCCTGCCCTAGAGATCTGTGGAACTTAGAACTTGAGAGAGATGGTTTAGGGTATCTGGCAGAAGAAATTTCTAAGCAGTAAAGCATTCAACAGGTGACAGAACATAAAAGTTTGGAAAATTTGCAGCCTGACAATGCAGTAGAAAAGAAAAACCCATTTTCTGGGGAGAAATTCAAGCCTGCTACAGAAATTTGCATAAGTAATGAGGAGCCAAATGTTAATCACGAAGACAATTGGGAAAATGTTCCAGGGCATGTCAGAGACTTTGGCAGTCCCTTCCATCACAGGTCTGAGGCCTAGGAGGAAAAAAGGGTTTGGTTGGCCAGGTGCAGGACCCCTCTGCTGTGTGCAGCCTAGGGACTTGGTTCCTTGTATCCCAGCAACTCCAACCCTGGATAAAAGGGGCCAAGGTATAGCTCAGGCCATGGCCTCAGAGGGTGCAAACCCAAAGCCTTGGCAGCTTCCATGTCGTATTGGTCTCAGAGTTGTGCAGAAGAATTGAGATTTGGGAACCTCTACCTAGATTTCAGAGGATGTATGGAAACACCTGGAGGTCCAGGCAGAGGTGTGCTTAAGGGATGGAACCCTCATAGAGAGCCTCTGCTAGGGCAGTGCAGAAAGGAAATGTGGGGTTGGAGCCTCCCCCACAGAGTCCCCACTGGGGCACTGCTTTGTAGAGGTGTGAGAAGAGGGCCGCCATCCTCCAGACCCCAGAATGGGAGATCCACTGACAGCTTGCGCTGTGTGCCTGAAAAAAGCTATAGACACTCAACACCAGCCTGTGAAAGCAGGCAGGCAGGAGAGGGCTGTACCCTGCAAAGCCACAGGGAAAGAGCTGCGCAAGGCCATGGGAGACCACCTCTCTTGCATCAGCATGACCTGGATCTGAGACATGGAATCAAAGGAGATCATTTTGGAACTTTAAGAATTAATGACTGCCCTATTGGATTTCAGGCTTGCATGAGGCCTCTAGTCTCTTTGTTTTGGACTATTTTTTCCATCTGGATTTTGTGCATTTATCCAATACCTGTAGCTCCATTTTATCTTGAAAGTAACTAACTTGCTTTCTATTTTACAGGCTCCTACACAGAAGGGACTTCCCTTGTCTCAGATGAGACTATGGACTTGGACTTTGGGGTTGATACTGAAATGAGTTAAGACTTTGGGGAATAGTCAGGAAGTCATAATTGTGTTGGAAAGGTGAGAAAGATGAGATCTGGGGGAGTCCAGGGGCGGAATGATACGGTCTGGCTCTGTGTCCCCACTCAAATCTCATCTTGAATTGTAATCTGAATTGTTATCTCCATGTGTTGAGGAAGGGACCTGATGGGAGGGGATTAGATCATGGGGGTTATCCCTCTATGCTGTTCTCTTGATAATGAGTGAGTTATCATGATATCTGATGGTTTTAAATGGCCTTTCTCCACTTCGCTCTGCACTTCTTTCTCCTACCTCTGTATGAAGAAGGATGTATTTGCTTTCCCTCCTATCATGATTGTAAGTTTCCTGAGGCCTCCCCAGACATGCAGAACTGTGAGTTAATTAGACCTCTTTTCTTTATAAATTACCCAGTCTTGGGTATTTCTTCATAGCAGCATGAAAACGAACTAATACATCCAGTGACCAGGAAAACTAGGAATTTACTAGTTGGGATAGCAAGCTATTATCAAAAGAATCAAACTATTGGGGGATCTTGGTTTGAGACCTAGGTTTCCACTGGTAAAAATTGAGCTATTGGGTAAGTCACTGTATCTCATCCAGCCTCATTTTTTCATCTGTCATGAGGTTATTGGAATGTCGATGAAAAGAGTTAAACTCTAAAATATTTTAAGAGATATTTATTCTGAGCAAAATATGAGTGACAATGGCCCATGACACAGCTTTTAGGAGGTCCTAAGAACACGTGCCCAAGTTTATTGGGGTGCAACTTGGTTTAATAGATTTTTAGGGAGGCATGAGGTATCAATTAAGTACATTTAAGGAATACAATGGTTTGTTCCAGAAAGGCAGGACAACTTGAAGCAGGGGTGGGGGAAAGAGGAGGCTTCCAGGCTATAAAACATTTTCTGGTTGACAATTGGTTGAGCTTTTGTCTAAGGATCTGGGATCAACAGAAAGTAAATGTTCAGGTTAAGGTAAAAGATTGTGGAGAGGAAGGTTCTTTTGAAGTCTCATAGCCTCTGCCCTTAGAAACAATAGATGACAAATATTTCCCATTCAGATCCTTTAAAAGGTGCTAGACTCTTAGTTAATCTATTCAGAATTGGAGGGGCCTGGAAGGAAAAGGTCTGGCTATGTTAATAGGGATTCTTTACAGAAGTGAATTTTCTCCCACCAAGTACGGCTTGCAGGGCCGTTTCAAAATGTGACAAAAAACATGTTTTGGAGGTAAGATATTTTGATTTTCTTCCTTGTCTCATAATGTTATGCCAGAATCAGGTTGAAAGATAAGTCACAATATATAGGGTTAAATAAAACCCATCTGATGAGAATTTTTGGTTTGTAGGTCATGACTCCCCAGATCCTTCAGACAGGAATTTGGGCAAGATTTAAAAAAAAAAAATCAGAGTTTAGTCCTAAGGACTTAGCCATTTTCAACACTTTTTGGTAACTTATCACCCTTATTTCTCTAATAAACTATTAGCTAGATTATAATTTATCAAGGGTAAAGATAGAGCTTGCAAGTTAAAGAGGACATAGGGTCCTTACATCTCTTTTACACGTTGTGATAATCTCAACATCATATCCAAAGATTATCAGAATAGCATTGGTTTTTATGATACATAATTCCTTCATGAATGATGATAAATAATATATATTTATATATATTTCTCACCATTGAGAAATATGTCCACAGCCAGACACAGTGGCTCACGCCTTTATTCCAACATTTTGGGAAGCCAAGGTGGTTGGATCACTTAGGATCAAGAGTTTGAGGCCATTCTGGCCAACATGCTGAAACCCCATCTGTACCAAAAGTACAAAAAAAAATATAGCCGGGCATGGTGGCAGGTGCCTGTAATCCCGGCTACTCAGGAGACTGAAGCAGAAGAATCGCTTGAACCCGGGAGACAGAGGTTGCAGTGCGCTGAGATGGTGCCATTGCACTCCAGTCCAGGTGACAGAATGGGACTCTGTCTTCAAAAAAAAAAAAGAGAGAGAGAAAGAAATATGTCCACAATATGTTATTTATTTATTTATCAGGAAATCAAGACAATGTGGTGTAAAGCTCAAAACAAACGTCTTAGGTCTTATGCCAAGGGTAAGTGTAAAGTTGTGAAAGAGGCAGACATGCTTCTCATATTGTTGTGGCTCACCATAAAGACAAAACATTGGTCAAGTAATTCAAAGTGTGGTAAGAGCTAAAAATTATCATGGATGCTCTTTACCATACTCTGTCCAATATAGACTACGAAAGAAAGATATGTACAATTTTAAGCAGAATAATTTTAAGTTCAGCACTAGTAGTCTTTTTTCCCCATAAGACAAAGCATAATATTTTGTCAGTATAAAACAATTGCCCAGCAGAATTTCTGGAAGTATTCAGGGTGAAAATCAATTCAGGTTAATGCCTACCATAATTAAGTCAAGGTGTTCAGGGGTCAAGTAAGAAGACAAGTTTCTATCATTATAATCTTTCCAAAGCCAAGCACCGTCCTTACCAGTTTAGCTCTAATAAACAGCACAGTGCCTGACACATGGTACTTAATAGGTTATATCTGTTTCTGTTTTTGATTTTCTTTAAATGAATAGTAGTTATTCTGAGAAATTGCAATTTGTGAAAATTAGTGTTGATGCAATTAAAAAATTATACGAGACTAGGAAAAGGAAGTAAAGATAGCATGTTTGCACAAATGAGCATATAAAGAGCTCTGAATCTCCAAATCTTTGATGAAAGAAGAGTAAAGAGCTACTAATATACAGTCATGCGATGTGATAGGATTACCAAAGATTTGAGTAACCAGAAATATGTATATAGTCATGTGCCTCATAATGATATTTTGGTCAACAGACAGCCTGTATGATAGTGGCTTCATATGATTATAAAGGAGTTGAAAATTCCTGTTACTTAGTGACCTTGTAGACATTTAATGTTGTAGCATAATGTATCACTCAAGTGTTTGTGGATATGCGAGAGTAAACAAACCTACTGTACTGTCAGTCATATAAAAGTGTAGCACATGTAATTATGTACACTACATAATACTTGATAATGATAATAAACAACTGTGTTACTGGTTTATGTACTTATTATACTATATTGTTATTGTTATTTTAGATTATAGTCTTTCTAAACACACACACAGATATGTGCATATATATATACACACACACACACACATATATGTATAGTTAACTGTAAACAGCCTCAGTCAGATTCTTTAGGAGGTATTCCAGAAGAAGGCATTGTTATCATAGAAGACATAGGAGATGACAACTCCATTCATGCTATTGCCCCTGAAGACCTTCCAGTGGGACAAGATGTGGAGGTGGAAGACAGTGATATTGATGATCCTGACCCTATGTAGGCTTAAACTAATGTGTATGGCCATGTCTTGTTTATTTTTTTTGTTGTTGTTGTTGTTGTTGTTGTTGTTGTTGTTTTAAGACAGAGTCTCACTCTGTCAACCAGGTTGGAGTGCAGTGGCACAATCTTGGCTCATTGCAACCTCCGCCTCTCAGGTTCAAGTGATTCTCCTGCCTCAGCCTCCAGAGTAGCTGGGATTACAGGCATGCACCACCAGGCCCAGATAATTTTTTTTTTTTAATTTAAGTAGTGACACGATTTCTCCATGTTGGTCAGGCTGGTCTCGACCTCCTGACCTCAGGTGATCCACCTGCCTTGGCCTCCCAAAGTGCTAAGATTACAGGCGTGAGCCACCATGCCCGATCCATGTCTTAGATTTTAACAAAAAAGTTTTAAAAGTTAAAAAAAGAATTAAAAATTGAAAAAAAGCTTATAGAAGGATATAAAGAAAGAAAACATTGTATAGCTGTACAGCGTGCTTGTGTTTCAAACTAAATGTTATCACAGAAGAGTCAAAAAGTAAAAATATAAAAAGTTTATGAAGTAAAAATATTACAGTAGGCTAAGGTTAATCTATTATTGAAGAAATCTGTTTTATAAGTTTAGTGTATCCTAAGTGTGCAGTGTTTATAAAATCTATAGCAGTGTACAGTGACGTTCTAGGATTTCACATTCACTCATCACTCACTCACAGACTCAGCCAGAGCAAATTCCAGTCCTACAAGCTCCATTCATAAGTGCCCTACACAGGTATACCAGTTTTTAACTTTTATTCTGTATTTCTACTGTACCTTTTCTATGTTTAGATAAACAAATGCTTACCATTGTGTTATAACTGCCTACAATATTCAGCACAATAACATGCTGTACAGGTTTGTGGCCTAGAAGCAATAGGCTATACCATTGAGCCTAGGAGTGTGGTAGGCTATATCCTGTATGTAGGCTTGTGCTATTCATACTCTATAGGCTTGTGTCACACCTACTCTAGGCTTGTGTTATACATACTCTATAATGTTTTCACAACAGTAAAATCCCCTGACAAATTTTTCAGAAAGTATCCCTGATATGACTCTGTGTGTGAATTTATAAATATATGCACACACATATATGCATGTATACAGGTATGATATATATAATATACGGTGTATTATATATATATAATACACTGTGTGCATATACACACACACACACATATATATATACTCAAGGAACTCAAGAGTGGCTATACTCACAGTGACATAAACCCCTAAGAAATTTTTTTAATATACAGACACAAAATAATAAAAAAGAAAAAAAGGTGTGCACTCATATATAGCTAGATACCCAACTGCACACAGAAAAGCCAGGTATGTGGGCATTCATGATGGAGATGCTGAAGAAGTTTTGCCTCACTAATTTGCCCATTACTTCACAGACATTCATTGAGCACCTATTCCATGTTACACACTGGAAACGAGTGGAGGTTAAAATAGCAAGTGCCACCATCACCCTATTCTCAGTGCGGCTCTGCTATTAGATGGAACCTTTATCAAGTGTCAGCAAGGGAACCTGGCATTTATCAGGGTGGGTGCTGAGCTCTGCTCTGCTGACAGGGTAGATTCAATACATGTCATCTCCACTGTGCTAAGATGTATTAATGGCTTGCTCTTTCTTCTTTCCATCACCCAGGCAACTTTTTCTTTTCAGTCCCTTTCTCCCATCCCCCAATTGTTCCCTTTTCGCATTTTGGGTTCCCCTTTGCACAAGCTGCTTGTTTGTGACTTTGAAGGAATCACTAATTCTCTCTATTTCTGCATACCCATCCATGAAATGTGGGAATTGACTAAATTATCCCTGATGTCTTACCCATCTCTTAGTGCTATGCTAGCATTGTAGAATTCTAGTTTGAATTCTTCTTAAAAAGCAGAGCTTGAGACACAGGCCTTTGTGGAGGTAGTTTATTTGGGGCCATTTGCTCCTATGGTACATGATGGATGGTCTGAGGAATAAACCAGGGAAGGTTTATTTCCAAGCCACAGGCTCGGAGGATTAGTGAAGTGTAAATGGAGAAAGAAGAAAAGCAGCCAATCCAAGGTTATTGAGCTGATTACAATTACAGAAAAACTAGAGCTTAATCCTGTTTGTGATATTTCAAGAGCTGTATGGAATGTGCCTTAGAAATCTTTAGATTGGGAAAAAGAGAATACTTACCTACTACTTCCTGCCCATTGGTAAAGCATTGTTCCAGGAAATGTTAACACCCGATCTGTTCCCAGTGTGTGCAGACATCAGAATGGCTGATCAAGCTCTTGCAGTAGATCCATGTGATTGTGGCAGATAAGCCCTGGGAGAAAAAGCAAGAGATATGCAGTGCAGCTGAGATCAGGTGCTATTCGGCTACACCTGAGTACAGCTGGTTGCTATAGCAAAGACCAGAGAAAAATTGGTGGAGTAAGAGAATATGAAAGGAAAATAAACGTTCAACAAAGAAGCCATTGCATTCCTCAATGTTGTCTGAGTGCTGATATCAAGAACTTTTGTCAAATCAGCACTGAACACATAGGGACTATGTCAGGAAATTTCGATATCCAACATTTCTACAAATGCACAGAATTGTGGCGGGCATGCGCCCTATGGCCCAGCTTCTTCCCGGTTCCCACCTAGGTTCGTCATAACATTGATAATGATTATTAAAGAACATCTACATTGTGCCAGGCAATGTATTAGGCATTTTAAGTACAATGTCTCTTCTAATCCCTAAATCAGTAGGATCCTATCATCAGGTTAGTACCTATAATCCCATTTTACAAATGAGGAAACCAAGACTCGGGAAAGGGAAGTGATTTTCCTCAATTTACATTACCCATGAAGACCTAAATTCAAATCCATATATATATACACACACACACACACACACACACACACACACACCTATATATATATAGACCTAAATTCAAATCCATATATGTATATATGGCTATTTTCAGGAGTTGAAACTATCTCAGTGGGCTCTTGGGTTTAGACTGGGTGTATACCTCAGTTCTAGGTCGATATCTCTCCCTTATCTGATGACTAACCTTGAACTACAGCTTGATTGGCTAGAATCTTGAGATCCTGCTTAGTTACTTGCCAGAGACTCCAGGTGCTTGGACCTCAACCACTAGTCCAGATATATTTTATGCCAAATACTAACCCAATTTTGAACTGGAAGCCTCATAAATTTTTACTTATGCTTTTTCTCACTGGAGGTCACCCTACAACCAAGTCAGTACCCCAAACTAACCCTTGTACATGCCAGTTTCTTGATTTGTACCTTTTCTTCAGTTGTTTCATTTTTCTCTTTATACTTTTTTCTTTTCATAATCCATAATCAATTAGCAGATTAGGGTAAGGCACAGCAGAGAATAACAGGAATGGCTAAACTGGGAGATAAATTTGGCATTATTTAGAATTAATCAGAGATTCAGGGAATTTAATATTTAAAGAGAAGATAGCCCATCTTAGTCTCCTAGCCTATCTTAGTCAATGCAGGCCTCTGTAACAAATAGACTGCCTAATTTATTAACAATAGATATTTGTAGCTCACAATTCTGGAGGCTGAGAAGTCCAAGATCAAGGTGCCAGCAGATTTGGTGTCTGGTGAGGGCTTGTGCTTCGTAGATGGTGCTTTCTATGTGTCCTTAAATGACAGAAGAATAATAGAGCCCTGTCAAGTGTCTTTTCTAAGGGCACTAATTCCATTCATGGAAGCAGAACCCTCACGATCTAATCACCTTCTAAAGGCTTCACCTCTTAATCCTACCACAATGGGGATGAGGTTTTCACATGACTTTTGGAAGGACACATTCAAACCACAGCACAGCCTGTCTGTGTACTCATTCCCTCCCATAATGTACTTTTTTTCCTTCTAAGCTTCTTGACGATAGATCTTTCAGTGTATTAGACAATCATTGCTTATCTACACTCGTATAATGTAATGATCTCCTCCCTAGCCATTGTTGACTGTGTCAAGGATCAGACCCTGATTCTAGCTAAGCTGTTCTTGGTATAGAAACAATGAGGGAAAAGGAAACAGGAAGAGGGAAGTAGGAGGTATCTGTTTTTCGCGTGACAGGTAGGTGAATGTAGGTGGAGGGTGCAAGCATCTTCTACCCACTATGCAAATGGATAAACAAAGAATGCTGGTCTAATGAGAATGAGAAAGGAAACACGTTTTAATTATTTAAAAAAACAGTGATAAGTCGAGAAAGATTTCAATCAGCCCTAAATGCTATGCCCAATTATCTTCCTGCACCCTTGACCACCCACGTCCCTGTCCTTTGACTTATTAAAGTTACTGAATTATTTACCTGATCCATTCTCCCTTTTTTAAAAACTGGAATTATTATTATTAAAAGGCATGCCTGCACTCCTGCACTATGTTTTCAATGACATAAAATTCTCTGCTTCCTGAATTTCTCTCATTTCCCAGTAGATTCAGTTGTTATAAAGTGCTTCCTTATGTTGAACGTAAAGCAGTTTCCCTGTACTCGTTAACTCCATTTCTGTTCTTGGGAACAAATAAAACCAGTAAAATCCCTTCTTTTTATACCCGCCCATCCAACATCTGAAAGAAAGCACTCCAACTCTTATCCCCATTCCATGAAGAACTTTTTGTTTTCTAGGCTAAATGCTCTCAGATTATCTTATTTTTTTGTGTGTACCATGGTTTGGAATCCCATGGGTTATGCTGGTCTCTGCTGTCTGGGTTATAAGACAAATTGTTAATCTCTCTCTCCATGTCTAGATTTGGCTGGCCCAATATGTAATGATGTGGGCCTGTTACACGCCTGTCTCTAGGGTCTTATTTACATTATAAATAATCACTGTCTTGTGATTCCAACGTCAAGAAGGTACAGTACTACATGGTGGTATTATGTTTGACATCAGACATGGCCCAACAGGGGAGAAGAATATGCTTCAACAGTTAGATGATTATGTTAATACAAACTGGGATTTTTTATTATGTTTGTCTCTTTCAAGACTGAATTTGATGTGATTGCTGCTGCTGATTCAGTACTAGGTAATGGAGGCTGAAATGTATTCCCCAGAAGATCCTCCGGGAACAGCCACCTGGGATTGACAGAGAGAGTCACTGGGTGTCACTGTTGAGTCATACAAATGCACTGGCCGCTTGCTTACAGAAGTCTGGCTCCTTAAAGAAGCTAGGAGAAGGAGGTTTGGGGTGGCTGCCTGGTCTGTGTCTCTTCACTAGGGTCAAGATAGAGCATCCCTCTCCCAGATTTTCGCTAAGAAGTATTGAGTCAGATGTGCCCACATCAGTGTGGGCCTGAACTGCTGTTTAATGACCTGATCCATCCTTGATCTGCCTGATGGTGCTGATAGGGGTCTGCTTTTATGTATCTATGTAGTAAGTGATCACACCCCCACCCTAGTCAAAGGAGGTCTCCCCCTCACACCCAGGACTTGCTGAACCTTACAGTTCTCTTCAGAGCAGATAAGCCCTTCCAGATTCAGACTGTACTTTCAGTCTCAGTCAAGGGTCAGTGGCACATTTCAGGTTTTTTTTTTTTTTTTTTAATGGGAGTACTGTTTTTGATAGAAATAAAGACAGGTGGAATTATAGGCATTAGCACTTTGAAGGGCAAGGAGAACAATTGATCAAAGGAGAGATAGGCCAAAGGTTACTAGATCAAAGGTAGATAGATCAAAGGTTACTAAAGACGGCTGAGTGCTCTAATAATCTTCTGTCCAAAAACTGACCCTGTTACTAACCCAGCCTGACCCACACATAGGTCATGAACTTTTGTTACCTCAGTGACTAAATATCCTTTCATGAGATGGTCGCTCAGGTTCATTGGCAGGTGTTCTCAATCCCTTTACGTGAACGTCATGAAAATGAAAATACCAAAATAACACATCTCTAAAACTTTTTCTGATGTCTGAGGAAAGCCCTAGGCACCAGTATATTTATAAACCCCACATGTCACTAAGGAATTTCCAAAGCACATTCTTCCAGTAGTGATTGATTGATTCTATGCTTTCTGAAAATTGTACTTCACATTACTTTTTAAAAAATTTTTGCTTCCCCTGGAATTCAGTACTGAGTTACATCCCAAGCAATCCCTCCAAAGCACAAATGTGATTGACACTCTGCTGTCTCCTTTTAAACTCCCCAATGTCTAATCACCACATATAAGTCAAGTATAAAGACAGTGACCTGTTATTCATGTGCTTCCTCATTGGCCCCTGCTTATTCCAGGACATAACAGTTTCCACCCACACACTGGTTTAAGCCAGGGGCTCACCACTTGGCTGCACATTGAAACTACCTGTGGAGCTTTTGAAAGCACTGATGTCTGAGTCCCATTCCCAGGACTTCTGATTTATTGGTAGGGAAAGAAACTCAGGCATCGTGAGCTTTCAAAGCTCCCCAGGTGATTCTAATGGAACACAAAGCTTCAAAATCACTATTCTTTGGTTTTCTCCCTTCTAGAACACACACATTTTCTTATCCTCCTTTGACTGAGCCATACATAGCTGCTAATCCTTCTTGACTCAACCCACTCATCATCTCCTTGAAGAAATCAAGTCTGAGCATACTCCTCTAGCTAAGTTAAAGATTTTTCTTTGGGATTCCCTAGCTTCTTGTACATACTTAGGCTATTGTATTAGAAATATCTATATGTCTATTTTTTTTACCTCTAGACTATAAGCCTATACTGGGTAAGTGAATTAATAGAACATATTTGTCATTGTGTGCCCAGTGCACAGCACAGAACTTAGCAGCTATTAAGTGCCCAGGAAATATTTTGTAGACTGGAACTACTGATAATTGAGAATGCGAATGAATGAATAAATGAATAATCAGTGGCAATGAATATAATTTATTAAACTTTACGTGTATATAGCCAGACACAAAGTATTACAGAGTCATTACCTTATTTTACATTCCCAAAAAGTCCCATTAGAAAGAGTGATCTCCGTTTTAGCTTAAGAAGCTCAGGTTTAGAGATGGTAAGTAGATGCCGCAGCCATTATTTGAAGGTTGGTCTGTCTGACTTCACTTTTAGTCACTTTACTGATTGCCTCTAAAAATAGAAAGGGAAAGATATCTAACCTGATTTTCTCATTGGAGTTTTTACTGGGTTCTTTTTGCCAGACATCATTTTAGCTCTTTTATACTTTAAGTACTTCACGACAACTCTATAAATTAGTGTTATTAGTCCCATTTAATTGATAAGAAAACCAAGCCTCAGAAAGAAGCAAAGTAACTCAGGCAAGGCCATAGGGCAAGGAAGTAACAAATGCTATAGGAAATCCTATGACTCTATACTTGTCTGT